CGGTCCTGACAGCGATAAGCCCGTTCTGATCGAGATGCGGAAGTAGACAACTGTTGTCTATGGTAGCTACACGTAGAGCCCTCTCACTGGTCAGGACGGTCAGATGATGCTGTAGGGCATCGGCGTCTGAATCGTCGTCGGCCGGCTTGCGCGCCCCGGAAAGCGCTGGGCATTATACACAGGGGGAAGACAACACAATGACGGTGGGATGCGGGGAAATTAAGAACTCTGCGACATCGCGACAACGTCGAGGACAAGCGAGGCCGTAGCCGTAATGAAGACGGAGCGCGTTGGGGAGACTTTAGGGCCGGCGGGTTCGCGTTTTAATCTAGGGCGGAGTGTGAATGAGAAGGAAGCGCCGGGATCGCGATCAGCGCTCTTTGTTCCCGTCCACCACATCCTACCCAAGCCTCTTTCTCCTCCGTCTCTCCTTCTGTCCTCTCAGAGAGTCGGCAGCAATGCCTGCTCCTCACTCTGTTCCTCCTCTTGCTATCGTCATGCCGCATCCACCCCTTCCCAGGCGCAGATCATCTCTGCTTTCCCAGTCCGCGCCTCGCACCCCTAGCTGCGGCTCTCCGGCTCATACCACCTTCTTCCTCCCCTCTTCGGGCAACAGGAAGAGCTCAGACAGCTGGAACAGCTCAAACTACGACGTTGCGGATGATGAACTCGAGGAAGAGTGGAAACCGGAGCAGATCCTTCTTCTGTCCAGGGTATGTCTGTTCCCATCACTCGCGCTCTTCTCTCTCAACTCGCTCCCACAGACCTTGGATGCGCTTCCAGCGCACATTCTCACTCCCTACAACGGTCCCGTACCCCCCTCCAATCTCTTGGACAAGATCGCTCGTGGTGTCTCTCAGGCAAAGGGCCCTGTAGACTGGGCCCATTCCCTTCGTTCAACTCGTGCCAAGCTTATTGAATTATGCCGCGCTCGTGCCCAAACTGCCGCTGAAGAGAAACGTAGAAACACCATCGAGGAAGAGGATTTCCCGTACGAGGGTGCCCCGCTCAGACAGACCACCAACCTTAGCCCTAAACGGCCTCTGTACCGACAGTCCAGCATGGATTTTATGCAGTCCGCAAGGCTGAGCGGGGACAGGCTCAGCGACTCATTCACTAGGTAAGTTTCTTGCAATCCTTAATTTTCGCCCGCTAATATAGTCCACAGGGCCTCGAACCACCTCCAACGCGCTGATCGCGCGTTCCCTAACCCAGCATACCATCCCTACTCCCGCCCCTCATCTACTAAAGGCCGCTCTCAATCTGGACATTTCTACTTGAGCCCCTCCACTCCGTCGTCAACAACCCTGCACTCTTCGCGCTCTTCACGTTCCTCCACGAGTGCGACTCGTCACTCGACGAGCTCGACCCTTTCTAGCTCGTCTGATTCCCACTCGTTGCCTGTCTATGATCCGCATTCCAAGGCCATTCGGCGCACCGATTCCCTTGGCCCGACCCAGCGTCAGCCTCTCAAGCGTGCACCCTCGCTTACCGGTGTTAACATGACATCCGACGATGAAGGCAAAATGTCGCCGAGGCGGTCGAAGAAGGCCCGGAAGCAGGCTCCTCTCACGCCTGAATCCCTGGACGAGCGTCGACCGAGGAGATACGATGGATGTGCCCCTGCCCCTGGCACACGGGCAACGCCCAGACGCAACCCATCCATGTTTGGCGCTGAACTTCCTCAGCTCCAACCCCAACATGAGCAGCCTCTCCTGCGTGTTCAGATCCCTGCGATCCAGCCGCAAGCCGTATGCCCCCGCACCCCTCCACGCACCTTGCGCCGCGTGCGCCCTCTCCGTTCCGCCCGGCGCATTAGTTTCAGCTCCAACCCCATGGCCACTCTTGATTCTGAACCTGTCGACATCGTTCCTGGCGCTGGTCTCGGTCTGGGTGACGCGTTCCAACTGCGCTGAGCGGCTGACATAGGCCTGCTTGGCTTTGGGAACCATGTTCAGTGTAACATATGTACAACATCGGTATCCTATATCAACTGCCAAAACTGCGCTGCAATTCGCGCACTGCATCATCCATAATCCAATCGGCCATCCATCCATCCTCAATGCTACATATATATCCGGGTCTACGCTCCCATCATAAATACTTGGCTTCTACGCGGCGTGCCTGGTGCTCAAGTCCCGTAACGCGGCTCTATTCCACATATTCCCCACCTTCGCTTTCTTCCTGTTTGCTATTGCTGCTCAGCATGTCACGCTCCTTAATGCATATCTTCGTGGGGTATCGGAATAGGCTTTTTTGGATTTCCTTCTCCCTAGGCTCGACCCTCATCGGCTTCTCCTGTACACATCGCTCCTTTATCGCCCCGTCTGGATTTCACTGTAAATCATATCCACGCTCATTTGCGCCCTTACCACCGGCTCGGTCATACCCGTTTTGCACATTCTTTTTGCACATCCTATTCCCCTTCCCTGTTTCTTCTGCACCACACAACCACACCTCCAGGACGGCCTCGCGTTATTGCAGCCAGCTTCGTCACCGCTAAGCTGCACGCCGGATCCTTCGTCAAGTCCGGCCACCACACAGGACACGGACACGGATACCGGCACTTCTGCCTCCGCGGCATTGTTCCGCGTGCATTGCATCCCAAGATCTTCACTCTCTGTTTCCGATGGAGTTTGTTTACCTCTATGCATATCCCCGGACGGGTCGTTTCCCAGATTCGACCAACCGTTTGTTTTCTCTGCTTCATATCGCAGTCTTGGTTTTCGTCTCTTCGGCCCCCGCTCGCGTTTGCGTCCGGCTCGTGCCGTGGTCCGTTTACACGTTAGTCACATTTCTTGCACCCTTGCACCTCTTCCTTTTTCTTGTTTAGCTCCCAGCTGCCCTGCCTTTCTTTTGTGTACATCATACCGACACGTATGCTGTTCTTCTGCTTCGCGGGAAAGACGATCGTTACATATCCTTTTTTTGCTTCTTGCTTCTTGCTTTTCCTGTACATACATACACGCGTTGATGCGCTTGCTTTTGCTTGGTTCTATGGTCTTATATTCTGAAGCTCTCAACTTCAACGGCGTGCTTTGCATTGGTTGCTGCGTTCGAAGTCGGTCTCGTAGAATGTATAAATATCGAGCTGGAATCTGAGATCTTGCAACTTGTAATATACCAGTCCCTCTTGTACGGTTCTGATTCCAATCCGTTCTTGGTGATCCCTTTCCTTATGTCTTCTATTAAGGAGCTGCGATCCAGCTATACGAGGAAGGACGTAGCCGCATGGCCGGGGATCGCGGAACACACGGTGTAGTGTAGTTGGTTATCTCGTTCGGTTCTTCAGCAAGCACCGTCCTCGAATTGTTTCTGCTCAAGTCAACCTCTGGAAGAGTCGAGCAAACAATGCTGCCGTCTGACGGTGGCCATGGTCCTCGTACTTTCCAGTGACTATATGCGCATCACTTTGACCTGCATCGTGTCGGTATGCTTCATCGTGGCCGCGACCCGGGTACGGTCATAAATGCCATCTCATGCATACCATTCCCCGCATCGAGCATACCCTGGGCCGCATACGTCATATGTATGCGCTCTACCTATATAACCCCATGGTCGCCCCCGTCCTCTTCGTCCTCTCTTCGTCCTTCCCACCATGCCTCTTCAATCGCGTCCCCGGCTTTCTGACGAGGAGCGCTACCAGGAGAATCTTATGGCCCTCCAGAACCGTCAACTCTTGGAGAATCCTCCCAATGGCTCGTCAAAGCCTCGTGTTCTTAGCGCATGGACCTTGGCGAGAAACGCTGAAGCTCGCAAGCTCTGGGAGGACTACATTCCCTTCGCAGATCCAGCCATCCCCGGGCCACCGCTGACCGCAGAAATTGTCCCCGGAACGCCTGTCCCCCACGCAGGCGAGGATCTTTTCTCTGGGTCTTCTGCTAACAAGCTGACGGCGAGCAGCCCACATCAAAGGATTCATCGACCATCTTGCCTCGACGTGCGGCGTCACTCTTGTTATTGGCAGGCGTCGCTTTGGCTGGTCTGTTCGAGACTGCATCTTTACCTTCTTTTCTCGATGGGCACAACTTACGCACACCGAAATCCCTGAAGAGATACGTAGACAAGCCATGGCCTATCTCGACTCTTCCGAATTTCGCAAGATGCGCGAGAAAGTCAAGCCTGTGGCCGACAAAGTCGACCTGGCAGCCATCATCGAGGTCATCTGAAGAGATACCGCCATGATCCGTACCCACCGCATGCGCCTACAGCTCGTCCTCGCAGTCTTACTTGTTGCCACTACATCAGAGCCTCCCGGCGCCATCCTCCAAAGCAATGCCTTCAGCACGACCAACCGGGCGCTTTCATGGCGTGACGTTTCTTTCCACATCAAACTGAATCTGTTTGATCCCCCGCATCCGATCGTGACGGCCGTCATCCGCCGCCTCCGACCCGAGGACCAGGGCACAAACTACTCCTCCTGGAAGGAAGAAGAGATCTTTTCTGAGCTTCCCCAAAACCGCTGCCATTGCCGTCTCAGCTTGCTGCTCGCCCTCGCCCTCATGGACAGTGTGTTTGTAGACGTCGGTTCCGCTTCAGATATCTTCAAACTGGCCATTGCACCCTGCCAGGAACACATCCTCCGTATCAAGCAGGACAAGGCGGACCTTCCAATTCTGAGGGCCGAGTGCTTCGAGAATGATGTCTGGTCCATCGACGACCAGAAAGCCATGTTGTATGATTCTTTCCGGGGCCAACTCTCCTTCTTTAGCGCGTGTGCTGGATTTCGCAGTACGTCTCGTGCCTGGTGTCAAGAACCCGAACTCACCTTGCCCCAGGACATCTGACTATAGACGACCTCCGCCTTGCTGCTGCCGATATTTACCAACGGGACTTGAAGGCTTCGACTTCCTCCTCAGTTGCCGCGGCCTAGTTACGAGGACTATTTCGCTTCATATCATAGACACTGTCTGTATGCTCTCCGTCTCTGTCCCGTTCGTCACTTCTTCTTTGCAGTATGACATGGACCTCCCGAGATGCTATGGATGGTCCAATATCATGGGCACATGGTGTAGTTGGTTATCACGTTCGCTTCGCACGTGATTGGATCACGTGATTGCGAAAGGTGTCCGGTTCAATTCCGGATGTGTCCATCTCGATGATGAAGAATTTGATATTATTTTGTCTCAGGTGGGTTTCAATGTTGCTTCTCATTCATGAGGACGGCGCTTCAAATCAGCCAATCCATTTGCAGACCATTAAGGATAGTCAGGGGATGTTTAGATGACATTATAGAGGTTCATAACGATACATGGTAACATCACAAAGTAATACAGGTAACAGAATACATGCAGAACCGTGGGCATCAAAGATTCAAGAGACCGAAAAAAGAAGAAATGCATTGTCCATTTGTCCGAGTACTTCCCAACTTCACGACGAGCCAAAGAGTCTGCTGAAGCCGCTCTTACTCTGCGAGGAACAAACACAATCAGCACAAGCAGTCATGCAGGAATAAAGAACCATACCTCTCCAGTGAGGCCCTTGACCTTCAGCGCCCGTTCCCGATCGTCCGCCTGCTTGTGCATGCGGATCCTCTCGACCTCATCCATCTTCTCGCGCAGCATCTCCGTCGTGTCCCGTGCATGCTCGCGGCTGCGCTCGAGCGCCTCCGCCGCGGCGCGCAGGGCGGTCTGCGCCCGCTCCTGTGCGCTCTGCGCGGCGAGGAAGTCCATCTCGGCCTTGTGCGCATCTGTGATGGCTTTGGAGTGGATCGTGTGCGACTTTGATTCTTCCTGCGGTGGATTGCACTGTCAAATCGTAGCTCGAGGGCTGAGGATGAGGCGGACTGGCTCACCTTCACCGCTGCCTTTTGGAGCTTCTGGAGCTCACCCAGCTCCTTCGTCGCTACCTCCAGCGCCGCCTTCTCTGTGTTCGCTTCGCCTCGGATGATGGTAGACAGCCGCTTCCCGTCCTTGTCTGATAACGAGGGTAAGATCATCACGCACCAAGCCAAGGCTAACGGATAGTACTTACACTCCTGCTTGTTGATCTTCGCCTTGTCCTTCGCCGACAACTCATCCTCGGCCGACGCAACCCTTTCATGGACGCCCGGGTCTACAGCCGCAGCAGACGACATCGCTGCGCCGTCCGTGAACGCGCTCCCCGTCCCGCCCACGCCCACGCCCGTGCCGTCCGTCCGCCGCGAGGACACAGACGCGGGCGCGGGGCTGCCCGCCGACTGCCCGTTCACCGCGGCGGCGGCGACAGGCGCACCTTGCCGGTGGCTGCGCTGCGAGGCATTGCGCAGAATGGGCTTGGGATCCTGCTCCTTGGTGCTCGTCGAGCGCCGAACAGGGGTGCTGGTAGAGGCTGCGTCGGGCGCGTCCAGGGGCGCGTAGGCCATCTCGTGGCTGGGCGAGGGGTGCGTGGGGCTCGCGGAGCGTCCGTCGGGTAGCATGCCGTTCGTGTTTATGGAGGCGGTATCTGTGCGGTCGGTGGCCGTCTGAGGCGCGTCGTCGTCCTGCGGTACAGAGGACTGTTGTGTCGGGCTGGCGGTCTGGTTCTCTTTGGACGAGATTCCCGTGGCGATCGCGACGGAGGGCTGGCGGTCGACGTCTGCTCCTGTCGCTGCAACGTTTGGTTCCGGGTCCGCGATGGCGCCCTCCGCTGGCTGCTGGAACCTGGACGAACTGGGCGCATCCGGCGACGGCCCGCCCGGGAAGTCCACATCCTCGGTCTCGAAGAAATGCGTGTGCGTGTCGCTGGGCGCCGCGGCGACGGTGTCGTCTGCGGGCTCGTGGGGCTTCTTGGAGAAGATATGCATGGTGCCGGAGAGGGCGGGTGAGATGAAGCTGATGGTGCGTACGGAGAGTGTGTACGAGCGGGTGGTCATATATGAGGGAGGGGGCTAAGGGATGGCATCGTGTTTAAATACGGGCGGGTGGGCGGGCTTTGGACTAGGTACTGCGGCCGTCGGTGGAGTCGCAGGTGAAGAGCCCCGCCCAGGTCCGCTTACTACTTGGCGCCTTGCTAATTGACGTCATCATCGCAGGTCTACCCCGCGTTCCAGCGCTTTGGATGGCCGTCTCCTACTGCCGGCACGGAGAGATTGTCACATCCACTTGATCCACGATTACCTCAGTTTTCGTACTCTGGATTTCTACACGCGCCGAGCTGGCTGCTCACTCGCCCTGGCTCCAAAAACTCCCGACGTCAAGGCTAGAAGGTCATGGCAAGCGCCTCGAGGCTTTCATGTCTGTGAGCACGATGCTCTCTATCAATCGTCCAGCTTAGCTTGTGCGTGTTCCAGCCCAGCCGTGACGTCAAAGTGTATATCAAGCCAACCACGTTATAGGTGTTGCGTAGAGCCAGAGAACACATCGTCACTTTGCCGGAGTGGTTAACGGGATCGCCTGCTAAAAAGCATTTCAGCGGTTGGGCTTTGCCCGCGAGTGTTCGAATCGCTCAGGTGACGTTCCTTTTTCCCGCAGTCTCTTTTCGAACCTGACACACGCCGTGCATGTCAATCTAACAACTGCCCAATTGCTCCCGCGGTGATGTCCCCGTCGCTCCCCTAGCTTCTCCATTTTATTCTCTGCCACTCCGGTCCAAATGGTTCCCACAGCTGACATGCAACGAAGATAGGGCACTCGTATAGGACCCGAGTAACGCGGATTCCGCGATCCTCGTTGCCTTTCGCTGACTTTATTTGACCGCTGCATTCACCGCTGACAAGACGGGAGTCCCAGCATAGGTATTCCCGGTCTTCGATGCGTTGATCTGTTGCGCCCAACTCCGCTGAGGATATAGCGGCCGCTGACGCTGTTATAAACACTGAACGTGCTAGGCTAGTACCGTATCTCCTATCCAACTATGCCCGTCGCGCCAATCGACGACCAGGGAACACAGCTGTACTATGAAGACAGCGGCGCGTTGCCTGGATTGTATACTACAATCGTAATCATCCACGGCACGGCTTACCATGGAGGTCAGGCTCCTTTGTCAGTGGAAGCCTATGAGTAGACATTCATCTCTGCATAGCGATTTTCAGCCGAATGTTTCCACATGCGGCTGCATACCAGCTGCGGCTCGTCGCCGTCAATCGCAGGGAATATCCCGGGTCGACACCGCTGTCCGACGAAGACCTGCGCATAGTGAACGGCACAGACGCCTCCGCCGGACGCGATTTTTTCCGCCGACAGAGCGTCGATATTGTTCGTTTCCTCGCCTGGTTCGTCCAGAACGAGGACATCCCCAAAATACACAGCACGCCCGGAGAACGCGACAAAGCGGGCCTGATATTGATGAGCTGGTCTGCGGGATGGGCACATGTTGCGCGTGTGCTATCAGACGCCGACGCATTACCTATCGACCTGATTGAGACGCTCACTCCTTATTTGCGGGGCGTCTGTGCAAATGGTATGTCGATATATTTGTGATCATTGCCACTTCAATCATCCCATGCATTGACGGCGCCTCTATAGATCCTCCGCGACGCGTTATGGGCCTCCCGCGGACTGCGGATTGCAATTTCTATGAGCCCATCTTCGACACGTCGCTCACGGATGAGGAATACTGCACGTACTTCCAGCCCTGGTGCTCGAACTACTACCTCCACCCGGACATCTCAACACGCCGCTCTGACGGCCTCACCGCCGAGATCCTAGACAACCCCCCAGAGGGAAAGCTCGCCACGTCGAACGGCATGTCCATCGCTGAGAAGATGGCAGTCACAAGTGCGAGCGCGGTTGCACGTCTCGAGCGCCCTCTGCTGATGGCCCCGGACGAGTTCTTCCTGGACGCGACACACGGGCTGTTCAAGAAATGCGATCCGGCTGCCGGTGTGTGGCCCCGGTGCAAGTTCTACGTGCTGTGGTGCGAGCAGACCGTGTGGGAGTGCGTCATGGCTGCGTGGCATATTGAGGATATGTATAATGCGAAGAAAGTGGAAGGCGAGGTGGGGAGAGAGCTCTTGATGCTCTCCATGCCGGAATGCAATCATTTCGTGAGTTTATTCCGCTCAATACAACGCGGTCACGGAGCGGACTAACGGGGCATGGGATACTGGTTTCTGCAGCCCCATTGGGAAAAACCTGAGCTTACTTGCAAGGTGTTTGCTGAATTCTTGGGATAGCTTCAGCGACCGGTCGACCTGTGTGTATACTGAATATAGATGACTATGGTGCACCTTCATTAGGTGCCGTGACTCTAGAACAGTGCCGCACCCCGCAGGTTTCATGAGCACATGCGATATTGCCTATTTCAGCCCCCTTTTCTTTCCCATTCATCAATATATCCTCAAGACACAACCCACTCTAGTGTCAGTTCAGATATCAGCACCGACCGTTCACCTGGACATATATGATTCCATCCCTACGGCAATGGGTGGACACACGTGGCTCCAGCACTGTCCGACGCCAACAGGTTGCTATTAATCAACCCTGGATCCCTTGAACGACATCGGTATGCCTCACAGTCACGCATACTCAAGCTTTCTCGTAGACAGCTGTTTCGGATTCCCCGCGGCGCGCCATGGGCCTGCTTATGGTCAACGGCGCAAACTTCTACCAGCCCGTCTTCAATACCTCGCTCACGATCGAGGGATACTGCACCCCGATATCCATACGCGTCGTGCCGACGGCTTCACCACGGAGATTGCGGTCGATTCCCCAGAGGACAAACGCGATGTGGTGAGCGTGGGGGTCAAGATCGCGCTCGTGTGGCCCCGCGCGGTCGGGCGCCTGGAACGCCTGCTGATGACTGACAAGGCAGAGAAACAGAAGGGTGAGGTTGGGTGGGAAGTGCTGATGCGGAGCTTCCGGGTTGTAACTATTTCGTGAGTCCAATTGCTATTGTCTGGTCGATGCGCTGGGAGAGAGCGGCGAAGCGCGATGTTTCGAAGCACCAGTGGGACATACTCAAGCTCAGCTGCAGGGTCCTGTCTGAATTCTCGGTATGGCCTGCGGTCCGGGACATTCTCTTCCCTAGCTGAGCATCAACGTCCTGTGTGGATTAGGAAGACCCTTGCTCTGGGATGGACTACGTCCGAGGCTTTGCCGTCATATTTCTGTCTTTAGCAGCGTACGGAGCGGTTGCGGAGCAGGTATCGATGGTGAGACGACCAACCTAGGAATTCAAATCACATATACGTACT